AATACACAGATATTAAGTGTAAAGGTCAATCAAATTTAACAAATGCATACATCTGTGTAACCCAAACACCTACATGGAAAACCTTTAAAGGTGGGGGTTAAATCTCTCCACTTTCCTGCCTTTTCCCCAGTCTTTCTAGTAGTGACTCAGTGAAGGTTTATGGAAAAGATTTGATGGGTGAGAGAAAATGGTGTATGGAGATCTTAGGGATTGTGAATCATTCATTACCCAGACCTTTACTCAGCCTTTTAAAGATGTGCTAAAAGCTTAGTCATTTTCTTCTTAACTGCTTTGGTGGCAGCTTCCCCCTCCTCCAGCTGCCCTGCCAAGGACAGAGCATCTGCAGGTCTCTCACTTTTTGTGTTATAATTCATTAGGTTTTTTTGCATCCTCAACTCTCTTCTGTGTCCATAGGGGGGAAACCCACTATGAATTTGCAAGTTATCCAGATTGTTGTTCAGATAGATGTGATGCGTTCTTGTGACTATGTCCTACATCCCAACTGGACATAAAAGAGCCAGAGTAAGTGCTTAAATAAACTGAGACTCTAAAATCCTATACTATATTAAGCTCTTCAGATAAGTTCATTACTACTCTCCTGTTTCCAGGGAGGACTTTGATTATGTTAGCTTGGCTTTGATCTCAGGGATCTTCAATCTTTTCTTCATGAAGTTACTTTCAATATAATAGAGATTTCATGCACTGTCATAGAGATTATTATAATGTAAGTGAACATTACCCTAAGCAAGTCCCTCCATTGGGAATCCAATTGCATATTACATTGTTATTACTTAGGATAATTGGCAAATAAAGTTGTAAGATAAAGGTACTAATATATGTACGTATACATTGTGACAAGATATCCCCCATAAAGTTAATAAACACATCTATCACCTCACATATTTGCCCTTTTCTTTTTTCTTTTTAAAAAAATATATTTTATTGATTTTTTTAGAGAGAGAAAGAGAGAGGGACAGAGTCAAAACATCGATCAGCTGGGGATGTGCCCACAACCACGGTACATGCCTTTAATTGGTATCGAACCTGGGACCCTTCAGTCTGCAAGCTAACGCTCTATCCACTGAGCCAAACCGGTTTCAGCTACCCTTTTCTTTTTGGAAGAACACATGTTCTTTTCTCTGAGCAAATTTCGATTATATAATACAGTGTTATCAACTATAGCCCCCATGCTTAGATCTTCAGACTTTATTCATCTTGTAACTGCAAGTTTGTACCCTTTACCCAGCCTCCCCTATTCAACATAAAGCTCCATTTTTCTGTTGGGCACCCAGGAGTCCACTTGCTGACTCACAGGGAACATGGATGTTCAACTGTCAACAATTTTCTAAGCAGACTTTACTCATTTATACTCCCACCACTTCTATGCATTTTTCCCTTTAACACAGTTATAAATATATTTTATCTTCATTTTGGTGCCTAGGTTTCAAGCTAATGCATTCTTGCCTTCTACTTTCTCTTACTCTAACATAAAATACTTACATTAGGATTCCAGCTAGGTTGAAACCGTGTTTCCCCGAAAATAAGACATCCCCTGAAAATAAGACCTAGTGCAACTTTGGGAGAAAAAATTAATATAAGACACTGTCTTATTTTGGAGGAAACAGGGGTAGTAGTTGATCCTGCATTTAATATTTCATAAAACATGAAGAATCACAAAGTATTCCAAACTACTCTGCCTAGCAATAAACTGATGTTTCCCCATTCATTCATCAAATGCTTATGGAGCACCCATAAGAGATTTTAGATTTGAACCTGGAGATACAAAGGCATGTAAACAATGGAACATAACATTGAACTTCTGACCTCCAAAAAGTATCTTCAGTAGGAAATGGCTCATCAGTAACTGTCTTCTCCTCTCTGGTCCTCCCACGTCTCCAATCACTCTACCAGTACTTGCCTCCAGCCCAGGCTGGCAGTGAACCATGTCTCATTAACCGCAAACACAATTTCCCTCCTCTGTTTCCCCTCTTTGGCTAACTATCCTTAAGAGTTTCATTTTCTCCTTTTATGGACAAAAATCATATTCAGGACAAGAGCAAAACTGTTCTCAAAACTTAAGGAATTATGGCAATATACATTTCACATTTTTTCCCTGTATTTCAAGGAAGAGTCTCTGCATGTTTTTGTGTATAATGGGATTTTCAGACTACATTTATTTTGTGTAAGACGATTAAAGATGTTCGCAGTGTTCTTACTGTTCAGTATTTCATATTGTAAATGATCAGGAGAATACATTAGTTGTTAAGGTAATGTGCTCAAGTATCTTCGTGGTTTTAAGAAGGTATTACCGCTCCCAAAATAGCTTCATTTAGTCCTTTTCTCTGGTAGTACGAAACCAGTTTTTGCTTGTGAACTGAACTGCTGCGTCTGTGCAACACGATTCAGACTCTGAGGAGAGTGCTTTAGGGAAACTGAGATTCTCTGTTATTTTTAAAATGGAGCATTAGTAATAAAATTAACCCCACTTAAAATGAACCTTCTTTAAAATCACTAGAAAGAAAATAAATTAACTTCATTTAAAATCACAGACTTAGATGTTCCCACAATTAAGAGCCACCAAAAGTCCTTTGTTGTATTGTTTTTCACAGGCCATTTCCATCTAGCATCTAAAGAAAGGACTGGGAGAATAAGTATGTAAGCGAAAGTACCTTAAGGTGTGATAGCTGTCCTCACCACCCACAAGATTCCAGCCTGTCCATCCATGGGAATTACCCTGAATTAACATGGGTGTTTTTTGTCCAAGTGCCGCGAATCCAAATCAAGAAGCTTAAGGAGAACAGCGTCACTAAACTGAGAAGTCTAGCTTCAGCAAATTCAATTGAGGATCTCAAGTTTTAAGATTCTCCTCCATCTGGGCTGTTTCCTTTGGGCTGCACTGCCCCTCTCTACAGATAAGCTTTTCCACAGTAGATGCTCCGGCTTCAGTGAACACCCTTCTTGGTCTGTGCGCCCTTCAACATGGCCCTGTGTCCCACGTTCTAGACTGAGAAACTACTGAGGAAGGGCCCTGAGTGGCCCAGATTAAGTCACATGCACAATCTGGAACGTGTTACTGGAGTTTCCTCTCTCTACAAGGAATCTGGTAGTGTTAACTAGTCCTTATCTTTATCTGCAAACATAAAATGCACAGATAGGACTAACTTCAAGAAATGTATGTTCTGACTGGAGAGAGGTAATGCATGCAAAGGTGTTTAAGACTTAAAAAGAAACAAGTGGGTGGGTATAACGAAAGTTGTAGAGCAAATACCCAAGGCTGAGGGGACACAAGAGCAGGACCAGGAGGGCCAGGAAAACCATTGGCAGTGTTTCAGGAAGGGTTTGGAGGTGTGTATATAAGATGTGTACGTTAAGCAAACAGGTTTCCCAGAGGTCACCGTGGGCTATCTTCTAAATCATCACGGGCGTGAAAGTTGGCTTGGCTGAAGAAACATTCATCGGAACAAACAGGAGAGAATTTGAAAGATCAGAGTATCTGACTACCTTGGAAAAGGTGAGGATGGAGGGCGGGGAGGAAGCATCTGGGTTCTGAAGATGTTGATGCATGAAAGCATACAAGTACAAGGCAGTCACGAATTAGGAAAAAAAATACTTGAGTCAAGATGAAAATAGCACAAGTATTAAAGTGCTTACAGGAGAGATTTCAGAGGTGGTACAGATAGATGGTAAAGTCACTGTAAAGGGGAGGACCATGGGAGCAGGTGGCTAGGGATGTAGTAGACACAGAGAAACTTTAAAGGCAAGGAAGCCCAGAATCTGAAAAATGATGAGGAATGTATGCAAAATATCCAGAATGCCGCTAACCTTTTAGAAATGCTAATCCTAAAAAGTAAAAACTTTTTAGGGAATATGGGCAACATATTCGTTGTCTGCATTTCAGGAGGATTTGGGTGAGATTCTGCGTGACTGGCAGGCCGTGCACACGAACACATCGAATTCAGTGCTGCAGGAACACGGCAGGAAGGCAGATGTCCAGGTCTGCCCCCTCCCTCCCTTCACCGTGCCCACAGGAGTCACTTACACTCAAATGCTTCTGCTTCAAGGTACTTAGGTGTCTCGTTAACTACTTCTGTTAAAATAAAACAATGAGGAGCAAAAAGATCCAAATAAGTAGAATGGGGGGGGGGGGGGGCAAAAGGATTGGAGGAGGAGAGGATATTTCTTCATTTACATGGACTTTATTTTTCCTTATACTCAAGCTTTTAAAAACAAAAATAGAAAACATTTTGAATCAGAGTATGCCTGAAAGCCAAACACTAAGATGGTGGCCCCACTATTTTTAAACCCAGACATGGGCTCAAATGGATTTTATAAACTTTTAAAGGGAACAATCACAAGTAATCTACTAAGTAGGGTTAAATGTCTGTCAACAAATCTAAAATTTCAGAGGCAATATTTTATTTCAAAAGTAATAAATAATATGATCACATAATAAATGGTGAATAACGATAGAAACTTAAAATTCTTATAAAAACTTGTAATATTTCACAATTAGGCTGTTCACATTTCTTATGACTTTGTTTTCCAATGATATATTAATGCAGATTAAAAATTAAAAACCATAATTAACCAACAGTGATATAAATTCAAGGCTGAGAAAAAGCACTAGTCACAAAATTTCAAGTAAACATTAATTTAGCAGTCCAGAAAGAAGAGCTGTTATCAATGAGAGGAGTCCTAATTATAAATAATCTAGCCATGTATTTGTCTAAAGACCGATACAGACCTAACTTTGCAAAACACTTGTGCAAAAAAATTAAATATACCTCCTTTGTTCAAGACACAATATAAAACTTGAAATAAGTCCTCTATTTAATAAAAAAAAGGAGACTCCTCAAGAAGGTTCATAGCATCTCATTAACAATGCAAAAATGTTAAACTGATGGTTTATATATTTTGGTCAGTAAAAATTATAACAGTTCTATGACAACTGGAAATATTATCAGAAAAAAATCTGTCAATGAAAAAAATCACTGATTCAATAAGTGTTCAATCATTTTATTAACAAAATATATGCCAGAAATACATCCCTCTCTGGTGAAAACTTTTCAAATAATTTTATGTGGAGAGCCTTGAGATGTATCAATTATATAAACCATATTAAAATGAAAACATTTTTTAAAATGTACAATACAAACCAGTACTTTGTACAATTCTCTATAAAGTTCGATAATCAATGTAAAAAATAAATTGTTTCAACAGAATATAAGGCATGTTCAGTTTCAGTAATTTTGTAGGATTACTTTTTTTGCTTTGTTGGAGACTTTTCTCTCCGCCGGTCCCGATTTTTCTTTGATTCTCTGGATTGTTCAGAGGATCTGCTAGGTTTTTCCCGTCGCCTCTCGGCACCATTCTGATACCTATCTTCATCGCTTCTAGAGTCTGAATGTTTTCTATTCTTTTCTCTTGACTTTGATCTGTCTTTTCTTCTAAAATTTTCACTGTCCTTATTTCGGTATCTATGCTCATTTTCAGAAAAAGAATTTCTTCTCTCTCCTCTCCTCATTTTCAGATCACCATACTCATTTTCCAAATCTAGATGCATTTCGTGTTCTCTGTCATTCATGACCCTACTGTAACTATTTCGTTCAGAAGGAACACCTCTGTCTGAAGTGTACTTTGTTATAGGATCTCTCCAATTTGGGTCCCTTGAATTTTTATCTCTGAGTTTTTCTGATCTCCTTTCTCTTTCAGTCCGTGTTTCCTGGTGCCTTTGCTCTGATCTTCTTTCTTCTTGCTTCCTATCATTTATTTGTTGTTTCCTGGTGAACTTTTCTACTTCTTTGCTTCTGGTGTTCCCTTGTCCCTTCTTTCTTATAGCTTTAGCTGCACATGTAAAATGAAATATAGTTAGTTTAAACTTTAATCTTAATTTCATGATTTAATAATCACATTCATTAATATAATATAGGTTTACTAATTCTCAGATAAACTGGATGCATAGCTAAATTTATTGAATGAAAAGCCTAATGACAGGACATTTCACAAAATATTTGGAAGTATACAATATATCAGCATTAGTTACCAAAGTACTGTTTTGATCATTAGACTCAAAACAGTGAACAAGAATGTTACAGCAAATCTTGTAAAATCTTTTATGAAGTAACTAAAATAGTACATTTCCACTTAAAAATTGTATTCAAAAACAGAAATTCCAGCCCATGTGCATTATTGATACAAAATATGTCAGATCTGGTACATGATCAAAATACTAATGATCACACACACCAGCAACATCACTTCCTAAAGGTGAGAGGGAGAGGGATGACTGGGTTTGCCTAACAGCATGAACATATGTATTTCAAATAAAAACTTCTTCCCATAAAAACCAGCTTTGCTCTCCAGTGCCGTTAGAGAAGCACCAGCTGTACCAGGAGGAACCAGGGTAAGCTATATAACCCCAGGCTTCGTATGAGCCACTCTGGCTTGATTTCGAAAAAGGCCCTGAACAACTTATTTTACTGATGTAATCACCAATATAAATGTTAAATAATTATAATAAAATGACTTATCATTTTAAGCTATTAAACAAATTTAACTGCTTTATCAGTGTTACATAGTTTGGGTACATAAATCAAAGATGCTGAGATGACCACAGTTTCTGTTGCATTCATATGTGTACAGAAAGGAGAAAAAAGGGTAGATCACCTACCCTCATCCTACTCCACCTAAATCTCTGTTCCAACCTGTATTTCCTCGGCCAAATGCCGTCTTGACAGGTAGTCGGTTTGCCACTAAGGACTTGTTTCTCTGGTGCCTATCAAACAACCCAGCTGAGCTGCAGCTACCCAAGCAGAAACCATCTGGCTCTGTGCGAAAGCATGTCCCTCTGACCCTGCTCGCTGCTCTCACTGCTTTGTTGACATTAAAACCTGTGCCATATAATAATGTGCAATCTCTTCTCTCTTTGGTGGCTGCTTTACCATTTTCCAATTTGGGGGAAGTTCATATTGCTTTTATGCTATTTAATATTTTATTATTAAAACTGGAAGCTCTCTACTGAAATTGTACGATGAGGCAAATTAATTTTGAATCAGCAAGCTTCCTTATTGCAGAAATTCATGCTGTGTTATCATCTGTTCTCAAATATCATGAAATAACGAATTCTTTAGAATTAAAAGAGGTGAAAGTTAAATGAACAATGTTTGCATATGTCAATTCAAGAAAACTTCCTGTGAGCAAATGGAATCTTGCCCTAATAATATAAAACACCGAGAGTCCCACAATTCTGGATGCCATGTAATATGTAAAATACTTTGAAGTGTAACAAGCCAGGGAATGAGAATAAAAAGACCAAACTTCCAACCTTCTAAGGCTGTAGGGAAAAGTGCTCCCTCTCTGAAATAGAGATAAAATTACTATTAGAGAAGAAAGCAGAGCTGACCCTGCAGAAAACAACACAGAACTTTTCAGAAAATAGCACATTTGAAAAAATTCTTTACTATAGCACTTCTAGTTCCAAGTAGAATAGAGAAGGCAATAGACCAGTTGAAGAACAACTAGAAATGCTGGATATAAATTTAAAATCTCTGCTTAAAGGAGGAAAAGATCTTGAACTTGAGATGCAATAAAGGAAGGCATTGCCCTTAAGAAAAGGGATAGGGGTATGTCCAAGGAACACAGGAGTCAACATGAAGAAACTCCTAATTGCCAAAGCTGAAATGATTTTAATAGCAAATAAAATAAAGTATTGGACTTTAACTCACAGAAAACAATAAATATCCACGAGTCCACAATGATAAAGTATAGTGTAAAATCATTAAGTAAATCGAGGAAAGGAACAACTCTTTCTTACAGAAGAAATTCAACTGCTAAATGTAGAAAAGAGACAAATAGAAAAAGCATCATTTGGCAAACACCACAGTATTACCATATTTTTCGGACCATAAGACGCTCCGGACCATAAGACACACCAGTTTTTAGAGAAGGGAAATGAAGAAAAAAAGATTCTGAAACAAATAGTGTCCTAAAATATTTTATGTGCATTAAAACCCAACATCACAGTCATAAACACATGTAATCAACCCTGTAAAGTAAACAGCAGCATTTAGAACCATTTTAGAGCTGGGCAAGCACACAGAGACCACACAGAGCCGGGCAAGTAAAAAAACTTTTTTTTTAAAGTATATGTGTAGGCTATATTTGGACCATAAGACGCAGGAACTTTTTCCCCCCACTTCTGGGGGGAAAAAAGTGCGTCTTATGGTCCGAAAAATACGGTAAGTGTTCCAAACAAGATCCAAAGATGGATATTTGTAAAACTGGAGAGTGAAAGTTAGAGATTTAAATAGCATCAAATTAGCTCTCTGTAAGATCTAACTTACAGAGAAAAATATTTACATGAAAAAATTCAGCAGATATCACCTTAACCAAGTCATCAAAGTTCATGTCACCAATAAGATACACCAATATTATAAATTCCTCATTAAGATGCACTAAGAGCACATCATTTCTATGGTATTCTAGCCAAAAACGTACATTTTCTTTATATAGCTGTACACTTATGAGATAAGCACTAAAAGTGTGATACATGTCAATAACTACCATAAAGTGTCATTATTAAAAAAATTAAAATTTCTTGAAACATTAACATCAGGAAGACTCCTGTCAACTACATTAGACATTATGAATGGTATTTCAGTCACAATTCAAATAAATATTTACCAATAAAATACCTTCATTTCTATGAAAAGGCTTCCAAAAGGTAATCTGAGCACTATAAATGTTAAAATTTACTATATACGGCAACAATGGTCCATGATCATTTATATTAATTGTGGCTTTTCAACAACTGAACTCTAAAATAAGTATAGAATGAAATTATTTACTTCTCTCATGTTAAACATCACCAGCAATACACTTGTTAGGAAAGAGCACGATGGATGGTGAGTTTAGTACCTGAGGCAGAGCTCTGACTGCTGGTGGATGAGGAGTCGCTGTCTTCGCTGGAAGACTCGGAACTGCTGTCACTGCTGTCCGAACCAGAAGCCGAGGAGTCAGACTCTGCTGAGGAGGATGCGGAGGAGGAAGAGGAGGGGGAGGAATTATCTGGCTCGATTTCTGGTTTCTGTGCCACAATGACCTTTGGTGTGTTTTTGAGATGCTCACGCAATTCATCCCTAATTAAAAATATGATGTTAGATTCTGTTTAGAAGGAAATTATGAGATAATTTTGTAATTGACAATGAAATTCTAAAAATAATCCTTACGTTAAACCTCCAAGACCTATAGAAGTGAAAAAGTTGATGGCAAAACGAGTGTTTCTGGGATTATCTCGGGGTAATAACCCTTCAAAGAATGGCTGTAGGGTTCTAAAAAAGAAAAAAAAAAGAAAATGAACAAAAAAAAGAACAGATTGCTGAAAGATAAAATTCTTTACGTAAAAGCAAAATTCTCATACAATCACTTTTCAGAGTTTCTACGTATTAAATTAGTAAATAAAATACAACCAAGTAAATGATTTATATAATTTATGAGGTTAGGCTACATGGTCTCTAATGAAATAAGTGAGGCCACTCATTAATTTACTAAACTTGATTTTCTGTAATTATACAACAAAGTTTTTTTTTAAATATATATACCAACACAGAGAGTAGATATATATAACATACAAACATAATCTATGTTCATATGTAGATGTATATATGTGAATGTATAAACAGAACAGTAAAAAAATTCTTCACACACACACACACACACATATGCGCATACATACTCATACATACACAGAACTGTGCAAGGCAATGGGAGAAGGGAAAAGTATCAACAAAAGGGAGAAATCATATTTAGTCAATGACTTATTGATAACACATCCTTATTATTTCTAGGAAGGGGAACAGAAAATATTAAAAATATTATGTGGTTTTCACCAAAACCGGTTTGGCTCAGAGTCTGTGGACTGAAAGGTCCCAGGTTCGATTCCGGTCAAGGGCATGTACATTGGTTGTGGGCACATCCCCGGTAGAGGGTATGCAGGAGGCAGCTGGTCGATGTTTCTAGCTCTCTGTCCCTCTCCCTTCCTCTCTGTGGAAAATCAATAAAAAAAATATATATTTAAAAATATATATATTTAGTATGTGGTTTTGCACATGTGGTTTGAGTACCACAGTGAGTGACTAACCAGCAGGGTCAAGAAAAACTGTTTCATAGAAAAAGGTGACAAATAAGAATGACTGAAGAGTTTGCTGAACAGAAAAAGGGAGGAATTCCCAGCTCTGGAAATGGAGGTAATGAGACAGGAATGAGCCAGACCTGCTTTACTCTCGGGCAATGCTGGTGTGGCTGGAGCACAGTGCACTGCAATGGGCTTCACTAGGTGAGCTGGAAAGGAGGCAGGGACTGGGAAACAAGCATAACAGAGAGCACCAGAACCAGGACAGATCTGTGGTGTACACTGGAGAGGCAGGCTGAGGATAAGAAGACTGAGAGGAGTTAGGTAGAATGGAAGAAGATGAGGAGCCACAGGGAGCACGTGCCCAGCTCTGTAAGTGAGGCTGAGAAGTGAAGGGACATAAGGACTGAGGAAGACGAGTTGGCTTGGCAGAGTTACTAGATAATGAAAGGCTGACTTCAGGAGTGCGAATGTGAGCAGCAATGGGCAACAGGAACAAATAGCTGGAACAGAGATTACATAATAGTCCTGGGACAAGACCCTAGTGCGGTGTAATGATACATTACATATTCATTCATCTGTATATATTCACAATTGTTGATAATAAAAAGAAGTTAACTGTCATTCTAATGCTCAAAATTAGGGTAAAAACTCTAAATACTCATCATTAAAGAACTCCAATGAGCATACAGAAGTAATTTTCTGGGCTTTATCTAAATTAAAAAAGGCATTAATTCTGTGTTTTCTCTATTGAACTAAAAACTGCATGTTGTGCTTGGCCACACAACATGAGACTCAGAGTGGTACCTAATGAAGTCCTAGGGGCATAACTCTTGCTTTACCAACCCAGGCTGGCACGTCACTAAAGTGAAGGAAAACCCTGGAGGACAATAAGAATAAAACGTGCTTAATGATAAACTTACTCATCTTTTAATCTTGCATTAAGTTTAGGAAGACCCATGTATTCACACAGTTCTTGGAAAAATATTTTAACAAAAATTCTACTGGAGGACGTAGTGGTTTCTTCACTCAGCTTTATACATTCAAGAACCTGAAAATTAAATGAAAGAGACAATTTAATTTTGTTCAAAAGATTAAGACAAAGTGACCAATATTCATACTCAAAGTTTCTCTTAAAATGATTTAGTTTCATCTTCAATCAGAATTATCTCTGAATATTTTCTCTAGTGGGGATATATACAATTTCTTGGCAAAGATTAAGACAACTTCTCTGTGCTAATTTTTTGAATGCTAAAAAGCTACAGAAATAGAGTTCATTCTCTTTCTTGAGTCTGTGCTTTTTAGAGCAGGAATATATTATCTTGAGTGTATAATGGTGCAGCAAAGATTACTAACTCCTAAGCCTCATCAAAATGTGTGTACATGAAGTTTTGAGGAAAAATACCATAGAGTGTGTTAGGCTATAGTTTTGTTCAGCACTTGTAATATGCGACAAAGGTAAACACAGGAAGATTGATGGCTTATCCTGAATAGTTAAGACTGAAGCTTAAAAACTGAAACTCATGTAGAGATGTTTTACAACAAACAAAAATAAAAGCAACCTCCAGTTAGTTGAGTTATATGTTCTAGAAGCCCTGGTGCTTCAATTGTAAAATTTTAATTTCATTTTCTCAAAGAGGGAAAAATAAGTTTAAAAAAATTACGATTTGGCTTCTACGCTAACTTACAAAATGCCTTATTAATGTAGCTAGGTATACTTAGTACTTAAAATATTATAAAAATCTACCCAATGTTTATAAGCTCAATGATATTGCTTCATTCTTCCATTAGATTCTGGTAGTCAATAATGTGATCCTCTCCTTTCTTTCCTCCAGGATGCAATTTCTTTCTATTGTTGGCTGAATGAACAGCAGTTATACAATAAATGCCAGCTTAATGGATGCATTTCAAATTGTAATCAAGTGTACACTGTCTCATTAAGATACCTTTCCTGGTTCTAACTCTGATAATAAGAACTCCTCCCTAACGCTGACCTAAATTCATTGCCTGCTAAAAAGAACATGTCTTATTAGGACAAACATTTTTCTCATGTCCCTCTGGAAACAAGCAATAACTCAGCAATGCATTACTACCAAACCTGGGTGCATATTAATAGCAGTGTGTACACATGAATGTGTACAAAGATAAAAATCTATAATCATTTCTATGAAAATACAGCTATCCCTATTTAAAAGCACTGATATGTCTGAACTTTTAATATCATCCAGAATGGTTACATTATATATTTTTGCATTTAGCTTTTTGATTTCACGTTATATGAACATAATCTCAAAGATAGCTGTTATAATAAAAGCTTGCTACACATTTCATTTTAAAGTACATTTCCTACATAGGAAAAGTATGGCTATATTACACGTAATACACATTTGAGAATGACAGGAGATAAAGAAGGGAGTAAAAATACTGAGCCCCATCTACTTACACTCCATGGAAGTGAATCAGTGTATAGAAGATGAGCAAACATCTTAGCAACATTTCTCAACTTGTTTGTTTCCAAGCGATGGATGGTATCATACTGTTCTTTGAATATACTTTCAAAGGATTCCATGTACTCTTTTTTTAGCATGCAAAATCGCTATTAATTAAAAAAAAATTGAGAATCAATACCATGATGAGCATATTAAATCCATCTAAATGTACTGAATCAAAAATAAATATTTTGTACATCTTTTTGTGCTATATGATAAGATGTTCAAACAAGAAGTTAATATATATTATCCTTATCTATCTGGGAATTATATGCTACAAAATTATACACAGCATAACTTGACAAATTATACAAAATTATACAAATCATAGACGCATACATTTGTACATGATATAAATATATTTCTCTGTAGGTAGAGTTTGGATTAAAAAATTATTTTAGCTCATGTTCTATTTGTTCTACCTATGAACATGCATCTGACTTCAGAAGCTGCTTTCAGACTTTGAAAAGACAGCATTTAATTTTCTTCTTTGGGAAATTTTTATAAAACATGTAGAATTTCCCAAAGTTCAAAGGAAGAGTGATATTCAATGGTAAAGGATTAAAAAATGAAAGGGGAGAGGCTGGGTGCAGAGAGTGGAAAACCTGGATAAGGGAAGACCAATTTACTTTCAGCAAAGACATGTTATATTAGATCTGACCATAAAGCAGACACTTTAATTCACAATATTCTTTTTTTAATTAAATGTATTGGGGTGACACTGGATCATAAAACCATACAGGTTTCAGATGTGCGATTCAATAAAATATCATTCGCACAGTGCACTATGTGCTTATCGCACTAAGCAAAGTCTCTTTCCATCTCCATTTTCCTCTCCTTTACCACCTTCACCTATCTCTATCCTCCTTTCCCTTAAGACACTGTTGTTTTAAGAATAGCCTTAGTTATTCCATTAAATTCCAATAAGAAAAAGAAAATTAGAACTCACGCCAGCTAATAAGCCAAAAAATTTCTCATATGTTCTTTGTTGAGCACAGCAATCAAGTATCATGTTGCAGAGTTCTTTCTATTTGGAAAACAAATAAAAACACAATTAATTCACGTTGTATGATAACTTATCAATATAACAGAGATAGCTAAAATGTTAAGTAAGATTTTAAAAACACAAAATTCTAAGACTTTGTGAATTTTAGCAATTAAGACTAAAAAAACTAATCTATGCTAAGAGTAGTTTCTTTTAAAGCTTTCATTCTGGCAGACAGTTTCCATATATCATTCATGCTAATTAGACTGCTTATAAAATTCTAAATTTATATAAATATGAATCACTTTAACAGAACATGTCCTGCTGGCATGGTGGAGTTGTTGAGCATTGACCTATGAAAAAGGAGGTCACAGTTTGATTCCCGGTCAGGGTACATGCCCAGGCTGTTGGCTCAAGTCCCAGTGTGGGGCATGCAGAAGGCAGCCAATCAATGATTCTCATCATTGATGTTTCTATCTCCCTCTCCTCCCTTCCTCTCTTAAATAAAAGCTATATTTTTTAAAGAGAACCTACAATAGTATGTATATGAAACAGACAAATCAAAAAATATTGAATAAACTGGATTCTAAAAAGATCCCATACAGAATTCTTTTAAATATGTCACCTCACTAATATAGGACATCTCACTAATACATCTGACAGTTAAGCTATATACCTTTCAAAGTTTTAAATTCCATTATTAGGAAATATATTTAGTTTAGTATGGAAAAGGTAGAACACTGAGTCTTTACAAAAGCATAAATAGGCAAAAGTTTCAATATTTACTTAAATGACACACTGGTTGATAAAGAAAAAAATATATTTAAAACAACAAATAAGAAGATCTCTATGGGTGAATTTTCTAGCCTCAAAACAAATGTTATACATACAGATCTATCTACAGCTTAATCTATACAAATAGATGGAATCATTTTATAACTACTAGAATAATATATTATCCAATCAGCTATTTATATGCCTTAAAAACTCCTCTGTGAAAATTCTGTTAAGCTAAAAAAAAAATCCAAGAATAAATCCAGGATCAGGAAATATCATTCTAAATTATTTATAATTAACAAATATTATTTATTAATTCCTGAAATAATCCTAATGAAATAAATATGTATTGATTATAGCAATTTTATAGATGAAGACTCTCGGGCAACATGTACAAAACAATAGAGACAAAATAAAAAAAGGCATAAATTCATTTTCTGACCGCTGCTGTAGAACTGACTCATTTTTTTCTACAAAACACTTCTCATTGGAAAATTTAAATTTATACTTTTCAAACATAGTAACTGCAATATATTTACTTTCTATAATAGAAAGCAAGATCATAAAATATAATATATAACCTTTTCAGTTCATTTTTACTTTTACTTAATTTATCTTTATATTTTCAATGAGAATTTTGACATTTTGTCATATTTAATAGCATGAGCTGCAACTTAAGTAGAAATTGTAAACATTTTTAAAATTAGATCAATATGTACTTATTACATATATTTATGTGCAAGGAAGAGGAAGAGGACCCCAGAGAAGCACAGAGGCACTCTAGAATGTGCTGTCCAGCAGGGTAGCCTGCAGCCCATGCAGCTATTTAAGTTTAAATTACTTGATATTACATAAAGTTAACATTTTAGTTCCTTGGTCACACTAGCCACACTTAAAGTTCTCAAAGGCCATTTGTGAGTAGCGACTGCTCACTGGACACAGGAGAATATGAATATTTTCACCACTGCAGAAAGTCCTCTGGGAGAACTCTGTTCTAGAAGTTGATAATCTATAAATAAAACAAGCTACTCGAAGGCCTCACTTCACAATACAGGGTGTTTTAGATATCTTTATACTGCCGGATTATCATTTTTTAAAAGATTAGTCACAAGTTACCTCAATTAAATGTTTATAAATGTGTAAGTTTTGAAAAGATGTACTTTGTCAAAATTTATAATAGTACTAAAAACTGAAAGATGTTTTTCTGACTTCTGCCTTAGTATGTTAATTTTATATATTAAAAGGCATTTTCAGCTTTTCTGCCAACATTGTATTTTACAATAACATAGGAGTTAATTGGGTTGTAAACACTATAATATGGTGATATGCTGATAGCATTGCTAATAAAGCCAGCACTAGTTATAAAACAAATTAGTTTCTTCCCTAGACTAAATGCAATTACAAGAGTTATTCCCTGTGGCTTAGAATAATTAAATATTTTAACATTTTAATTAAATATTATAGCAGTTTTAGGAGAGTCTTTTGAGCGCCTAAAAATAGATGCACTAAGACATTCATCTAATTGTTATCAAAATATGTTTGGTTAGTCCTAATATTATCCTCAAGATTAATATTAATAATATTTATAATGACTTATTATATTCTCAAATAATACAACAAGATCATACAGTAATTTCAATTTCAACTATAATTTTAAAGATTAATTCCTTCCAATGACAACAATCAAGTGAACCTAGAGTATGAATAGGTACACTATTATTAATATACTAGAGGCTGGTGCACAAAATTTGTGCACTGGTAGGGTCCCTAGGCCTGGCCAGGGATTAGGACCAATCAAGGCCTTTCTTTGTTCTGCCCGACTCCAAACCCCCCCCCCCCCCCCCCCCCCCCCCCGGTGTTCCGCACAATACCACTACATAGCGAGTGATAGAACTCCCAGTCAAATTCCCGAGGGACAATTTGCATATTTGCCTTTTATTATATAGGATTAGTAAACAAAATTTGAAAGGAAAAAAATATTCTTTTTTAACTTGAAAAGAATAATTTAGTCTCAAAATTCCATATTATGGCATTTCAAAAATAAACCTACATTTTAGAACAAAGGTTGGCAAAAGTTTTCTGTAAAAGGTCAGATAGTAAATACTTAGGTTTTTGAGGCCATTCAGTTGGTATCTCTTGTAACTAGTCAGTTCTACTGCTATAGGGCAAAAGAAGCCATATATAACCAAAGAACATGTAAAATTTTATAAAAATGGGCAACGGCTTGGGCCACAGTCTGCCAATCCCTGTCACAGATCATATTTAAAGCCTTATTAAGACATACTCTCTCCCATGTTTCTTTTTTTTTTTAAGGGGGGGGTGGTAAGCTAATTTTTGGAGGCCTTGCTTTGGCAAGACTGAAAGAAAATAAAAAGGCTTAAGACAAAGGACTTACAGCTAATGGTAACTTAGCTCAGATAATCAATCTTTTAAAAGAACTAGAAACCAAACAGCCTGCTAGGCTCCAGCATCTGTGCTGGGTCTAGCACATATAAGGAAAGGTGTGAAAAACAAAACCGCAAAGCCTTGGTTCAGGTTGCAAGAATCCATCTGTAATAATGTCAACAATAAATATACACTGAGTGGCCAGATTATTATGACCTCTGAACACATAATAATCTGGCCACTCAGTGTATATTGTATATAGTAAAAGGCTAATATGCAAATTGTCCCCTCAACCAGGAGTTTGACCAGCAGGCAGGCTGGCCAACCACCCATGTCCCCTTCTTCTGGCCAGGCTGGCTGGACCCCACCAATGCACAAATTCATGCACCAGGCCTACACACACACACACACACACACACACACACACACACACACAGAGTGGCCAGATTATTATGTGTTCAGAGATCATAATAATATGGCCACTCAGTGTATAAATAAAGTCTAGATGGACTGGGAGTAAAATATACAAGAGCACAATTAGAAAAAAGCAGCCAAGATAATTTATTTAAGTCCAGTCTTAGCATTAGAGTTCTATGGTACTTTGAAAAGTGAGGTATGATCAATTATAAGACTAAATAAGTCCTATGGGCTAAAGGGGGTCTAATATGTACTTTATAAATCTTAAATACCTGACACTGCAGAATGCCTGACATATAGTATATGCTGAATACACTTTGTTGAATGAATGAATGAAAAATGATAGATTCTCTATAATTAAATAAAGTAACAACGTGTATGATGATCTTTATAACTTCTATCTGAAAATAATGTTTTAGTATATAAAGCAGATGGACCAGGTAATTTATTAAAGAACAAATTTCCTATCGTATTTAAGCCACATTTTGATTTACAGGTAACCATTCAGAAATTTACATAAAGTGTAGTGATTCAGAGACCTCCTCCTTTTCCCACATTGTATTCAAGCAGCCAATTTAATTCACTAGGAGTAGTATATATGAAACACGCCAGAACTTCTAAGTTTTGAGTTATTTTAAATTTTTTGAGTTCTTTTACATTTTGATTTATTATAAAGTTTAGAAAAATATAAATTTAAATAATAAAGATTTAATACTAAGTAATAATTTCAATTCATGAAAACTATTAATTGTTCTGAAGATTTTTATAACCAATGTATTTCCCAATAGAAGAAAAAATTAACTTACTGTTTGGCTTTCAGGAAACTCCATTTTCAGTAATTTGTGAGCACATTCTTCAAAATCTAAACTGCAGAGATAAAATGTTCATAACAGCCAGGTTAAAAACTTGCAGCATAGTTAAATCATAGTATTCTTACATATAGAAGAATCTTACTTTAGTAGTTGTCTTTAATATTTTTTATTAGAATTTCATATTACATTGTACATATAAAAAAATAGCTCTTAACTCTACAAAGGCAGTACTGATAACATATGACAATATGGACAAATTTTAAATTATGCTAAGTTAGAAAGGTCAAACACAAAGGACCACATATAGTATGATTCCATTTATATGAAATGTCCTGAATAGGAAATCCATAGACAAAGGAAAGTAGACTTAAATTTTTATTACACTACTAAATTATTTCCTCTTCTCTCTAATCCAAGTCAGGAAATAATAGAAGATGCTCCAAGAGCACAGCATGACATCTACTGCTTAATCACCATTTTTACACGTTATCTTGATTCATACCCAAACACAGGGCTTCTATATCCATATGCTTCACCTAAGAGAATTATCAAACTCAATGTGAACTTGATGCAGGAGTAATGCTAATATATTTGGACTTTTTGTAGAATTTTCAAACCCTAATTCTTTTGATAACAGTGGTATCTTATTTCTCAGTTTCGTTACTTATTGTGTTTCATAAATACAATCCTGTATAATAAAAGGCTAGATATGAAAGTTGACCAAACAGCAGAACCACTGCTTGCTATGACAAGTACTGACCACCAGGGGGCAGACAATCAACATAGGAGCTGCTCCCTGGTGGTCACTGTGCTCCCAGCTCAGTCAGAAGCTGGGTTCATAGCTGGCAAGCGCAGTGGTGGTGGTGAGAGCTTCTCCTGCTTCCACGGCAGCGCTAAGGATGTCTGCCTGATGGCTTAAGCCCAAGGGTTCCTCCCAGATTGCGAAAGGGTGCAGGCTGGCCTGAGGGAAGCCCCTTAGTGCACGAATTTCTTGCACTGGGCCTCTAGTAGGATAATAACCCAAGATGACACAATGTAATAGAATTTTTTAAGAAAATTAAAGTGAAAATAATTTACTTTAGGAAAATTTATTTATCAGGAAAGAACTATTATAATAGATAATATTAAATAATATTTAGCACTAAGGTTAAAATATTAAAGTACAGTTGACAAACTTTAATAACATCGAAATACTAAAAAATATTTAAAAAGATGTGACATTTTCTTTTCTAATATGTTATTTCTAAAATATGCCTACCTATTTTTCCAATAAAGATATTCTATAAGTTTTACCTCAACTAACATTATATCAGACCACTTGTCCATATCAGTAACAATGCTCCATTAGCCTAACTTTCTTTTCTTTTTTTTTTTTTATAATCACCTGAGAATGTTTATCAATTTGATGAGATAAGGAGAGAAACACTGATGTGAGAAATATCAATTCATATGTGCCCTGGCCGGGGATTGAACCCACAACCTAGATATGTGCCCGGATGGGAACTGAATCCATAACTTTTTGGTGCATGGGACAACACTCCAACCAATTGAGCAACCCGGCCAGGGGTAGCCTAATATTCAATGGCGGCATGAACTTGACATTTTGATTATTTGTGTCAAACAATAAGATTGTCTCTCTCTCTCTTTTTTTTTTTTTTTTGCACTGAACAATTCTGTATATAATTTTTTATCAATATGCATGCCTTGAGAAAATATAATAATGAAAAATAAGAGACAAATGGAATGAACACTAAGACCTTGATTCATGTTACTGAAAGGCTTCCCATAAAGAATTTAAATTTATATTCCCACCAATAATGTTTTATATGTATATGTATATATATGTTTTGTATATATATATACATACATATATATATCACTAAATATATATCACTAAAATAATAATATATCACTAAAATAATATATATCACTAAAATAATTATTAGTGACTAGGCATTTAGAGGCTGAGAACTCTTAACAAACACCAATACATAAGGCAGTAGTTACTGTGATGGATATCACTACACAGTAGTGGCTATCACTGTGTCTTAAAGCTTTAAATTTTAAATCTTTTCTATGATTCAGAGATTATTAAGGTTAGGTCAACTTAAAAAAAAGTTGCTTTTAAATAACCTTTCAGAGAGTTCCATTGTAACTCTTCAAAGTTAATGTTAACAGCAATATTAAAACAATAAAACTGTTGTTTATAAGAAAACTGTTGATTTTCTAAAAAAGTATATACAAATAAAAGATCAAACTCCTAAAACAAAAATTTATCTATAACAAAAATTCTCATCTTCCACTTTAATTCTGAATGAAAAAAAAATATTTAATAGTTTTTTCTTCTTTCATGTGAAAGGCAAAGCAATAGTTAAGGATAAACCAAAAATTTTCTAACCAATGTTTGCTATTTAACTTTTCTTTTTAGAAGATGAATTTAAGCCAAAAAGTTTTCAGACAGAATAAAAACAAGATGACTCCTACTTATGAATCATTAGTGCTATTACATCATACTAAATGGAAATATACACAACCTAGTAACAAAGAAAAATAACGGAAAAAATTCCTCCTTCAGAGTAAAATGTAAACACTGCCCACTAAATCAATAGATTGACACACAACAAACAACAAATGTACTAAACATTTTACATTTTGATTTACTTTTCTTCAAAACTAAACTCACAGCCTTCAAAGGGAATAGTTTTTCTTTTCATGACATAATAGTTCTTACTTAACACTGATCCAAAGGGTCCTAAAACCTCCCTAAACCTAATTTCTATACATTTCTATTTGCACAAAACCATTGTCCAAGGGTTAACAAAACAGTGTTTCTCTCCTCAGAACCAGAATTAGAAAACAAACAGAAAAATATAAAATATTAAATTGCCACTACACAATTAATACTGTGCTAGTTCTATAATATATAGTTGTTTTCAGGTTTTTATAAGTGATATCAAACTATAAGAAATGACATAACTAGCCTAGATAGTGTGGCCAAGTGGTTGGGCATCGACCTATGAACCAGGACATCACGGTTCAATTCTGGAGAGGGCACATGCCTGCAGTTCAGGCTTGGTCCCCAGTGTGGGGTGTGCAGGAGGCAGCCAATCAATTATTCTCTCTCATCATTAATGTTTCTATCTCACCTCCTCTCTCTTCCTTTCTGAAATCAATAAAAATATATTTTAAAAAAAGGAAATGACATAACTAAAACAAACAAATAAAAACCCATTTAATTCTGTAACACAGTTAGATCTTCCAAATAAATAAAGGTAATTTGCTTTTGAAGCAAAGAACCAAGAGTATGGACCTATCAATTTGGGCTTGGGATAGAATTTGAGAATCACTAACATAGTATAAAGTTTTTTGTCAACAGTTTCTAAAATTCCCATCTCCTTGTTCATTTGCTATCAAAAGTAAGAATCAACTGAGGTACAGTGATCTTACCTTGACTGAATAGCAAGATAAATTGTTCGACGAAATGAGACTAGATTAATTTCTGTTTTGTCATGAATAGTCACCTTTTGTCCTGAAAGAAACAAGAAAATTATGCAAATATGCAAATAAATATGAAGAACTGAAAATGTATTTTTGTGTAACTTTCTAAATACATTTAGAATCTATGAATTTAATAACCATATTTTTATAGTATAAATTATTACTTATAGAATTCAAAGTAACTATTTCAAGTCTATTATCATATCTTAAAATACTTTAGTAAGTTTTGTTAGCTCAAAGAAGTTAAGAACCAAGCCAGAAAAGCTACTTTTGTTTCTGTGTCACTTGCTCATTTAGACACTATAAAAGGCTGCACCTATAATATTGCTTAGTAAAATAAATATTATTTCTAGAGAGTATCTTCATAATTTGGAAGAACTATAACTTATGAGTAGAAGTACAATTTAAGAGAATAAAAGGCTAATATGTAAATCGACCAAATGGCGTAATGACTGGTCACTATGATGCGCACTGACCACCAGGGAGCAGACACTCACGGCAGGAGCTGCCCCCTAGCGGTCAGAGCACTCCCACAGGGGGAACACTGCTCAGCCAAGAAGCTGGGCTCTCGGCTGGCGAGCACAGCAGCAGTGGTGGGAGCCTCTTCCACCTCCTAGGCAGCACAAAGGATGTCTGATGGAGCGGACATCCCCTGAGGGCTCATGGACTGTGAGAGGGTGCAGTCCAGGCTGAGGGACCATCCCCTTCCACCCCCCAAGTGCATGCCTTTCATGCACAAGACCTCTAGTTTTCACCTAAAACAAAGAAATTTTGAAGTAAAATATAGTACATGGATAGCAAGATGTTTTAAACAAAGAAGACAATAGAACAAAATTAAACTTATTTTTATAAAAAAGCAGTTACACTTTAAAATAAGACAGAACTGAAATACGTTATGTCTTAAAAGGGAAAGAGATGCTTTTACCATTTTCAAATATGTAATACAAGTAAATAATGACCAGTGTAGGCATGTTCTGAAGTTTTAACTGACACTCAACCAAAGTAGTGAGCTAATTTTTTCTGTGAAATATAATGCAATCAAAGCTGAAGGGGAAGAATACCATACCTATTTTTGTATAAATGTAGATTTTGGCCTCCCAACTTTATTTCGTCAAAATGAACAGCAAATATGGAGTCATTCTTATCTGTCACATTAATGCTAGGGTTACATAAACCATATGCACTCAAAATGAATGTACCTTATTCATAGTTTATAATCAAAGACAGAAAATGTCAAATTAAAATTGAGCTGATGTTAAAATGAATTTCCTTGTTTAATACCTGTAGTGTATGTTTTTTAACCTTGGCAATACTGACATTTTGAGCTGGGTGATACTTTGTTGAAGCAGGAGCAGTCTGTGACTTGTAGGATGTTGAACAGCATTCTTAGCCTTTACCCAGTGGATGCTAGTAACAAGACCTTCCCAGCTCATACGCATTGGGAACCACTGTTTCAGAGAATTACTTCAACTTCAGAGTATTTTACAGTACTATTTAAATAAACTATACTTTTACCTTCTTCATCTTCTTCCCCTTCTTCCTCTTCCTCCTCCTCCTCCTCTTCACTACTTCCAGCATCTTGATCTGAGTTTGAGTCACTATCTCCTTCATCAAGAATTTCTAAAAGACCAAAGTAAATTTAGGAAAATATTAACAAGGAAGTGATACCCATGCAGTTCATTCTTCAAAGACAACTCTCTGAAATCTGTAATGGTATGACTGTTTATCAACCTATACAGATAATCACAGAGGCCTCCTGTTATTGCGTGGTGGTCAGAGAACATTATAACTAATTTGTCTAGAAAGAGTCATTCTTCTGACTGACAGAAAGTGACCATAAAACAAGGGGGGAATGAAAAAGAAAAAGTAGATTAAAGTTTCCAATAGAGCAACAACATACTGGAGTCAAAATATTCCTAGTTCATCATCAGAAAGAAGACAGTCTATTACAAAAAACATTGATACAGAAAATAAGAATTTAAGCTAAGAATCTTTTATGAAAGAAAAAAAAAAAAAAAAAAAAAAAAAGGAGAGAGAATAAACCATTGGTTAATTTAGCATTCATTGTAAATGGACACCAATGAGATTTTTATTAAAATATATACCTATTAAATAAACATTACACTCAATCCAAAGACTTTCTATATATAAAACAAAAGCCAAAGTTTAAAAAGCTTTTAGGAAAACTGGTAAGATGTACACTTCATTGGATTATCACCTCTTAAAATACAACTCACACTCAGAACTGGGTGAAAAGTGATGTAAATAAGAGACTATATAAAACAAGTAACAAAAACTATAATTATATTTTGTTCAATCAGGTATGTGCTCTATTAGTTTGGTAAAATATTTTACAAATCTGGCCAACATTTCATTTCCTTGATTTCTATTATGATCAGAGAATTCTTAATAAAATGTTTTGGGGCCAATTCATTTTTAGAAAACTTTTAATGTCTTTCTATTTTCTAAGCAGTATATATAACTCAGGAGCCACATATAATATTGACTGTTAATAGAGAACTTCATGCTATCAGGAATAAATCATTTTACAAGCAGGAGACTTATAAATATCCTCAAGAATATTTCTAACCAATGTTAGAAATAGTTTATTATTATATAATTTGGTTTTAGACAGACTTTTACAAGAGGAAACTATTTAGTATTCAATAGAAGGAAGACAGGCACTCCCGCTGTTTTCCCAAATGCTGCAAGACCTAAAACACAAGTACACCTGAGTCACTCTAAGGTGCTAATTACTAAAGCTGTGCCCACTTCCTGCTGTGACCATTTTTTTATGCCAGCTCTAGAAGGATATTTTATGAAAGAATGAAGGTCAAATGAATTGTCTAGTCGTTTACATCATCCTCTTCTCATCTGTTCAGTTTAGAATCTACTTACTGAAAGCACTTAGGCAATGGCAATTAGATTTCATTAACTGGATAAAGCAGTGGTTTCAAAGTATAGTCTGTAAGTCTCGGGGGTTGGGGTTCAGGATAGGGGTGGGGAACCACTGATACCTGTCAGGTGGTCTGTGAGGTTAAAACCATTTTCATAAAATTACTAAGACATCATCCGCCTTTCACTGTGCTGACATCTGCAATGATGGCCCAAAGCAACAGGGGTTAAAACTGCTGCAACCTGAGCACAAATCAAAGCATCAAACTGCACTAGCAGTGGTGCTCTTGGCTGTTGCCACACTCTTGTACTAGGGGAAAGCCCGTTTCTCTTAACAATGTCCCTGACGAAGAAGTAGAATATTACTGATTTTATTAAATCTCAGCTGTTGGTAGGTCTTTTAATAATCTGAGTAACAAAACATGAAGTTCAAAGATAGGACTGCTGTTAAAGACAAATGTAAGATGAAGGTTATCTCAAGGAAAAGCACTTATGCAATCATTTGAGTTTTAAGATGAATCAGCTTTTTTCATTTTCACTTCAAAGAATGGCTCACAACCTATACTTCTCATCCTAGGAGCTTTCAGAGCAGTGAGTGCTTTTCAGGTAAAATCACAATTCAGGAAAATAAATCTATAAAGTTATCGTATAATTATAATATTTGAGTATAATAGAAACATAATTATATAAGTAGCCGTGAATATTAGCATTATGAAACAAATGATAGAAATGTGAAACAAAATAGTATTATTGTCTAAATACTAATTCTGTGACAATACAAAGCACTATATGTATCTTCACACAAACAGGGAACATTTACTCTTTCATCAAATAAGTAACATCTTCCAGGTCACTTAGTTAGTAATGGCAGACAAAATACAAACCAAATTCTGTCCAAAGTATATGCTTACAATATATTAATGATGTACAAATAATAATTATCTATTAAGCACTGATATCTAGCACTGTGATTGATGTTATCAGAAGCCTATCAATCTGCTTTCAAGAAATAATAAAATATAGCACTTAATTGAATAATAAATTGCATGTCACTTAAAGTAGTAATTCTTAGGTGGCAGTAAAGTCAAATAAAGTGTACTACATGAATATTCTTAAGAGGGATAAAACTTAAGAGTTACATAATTGAAACACGCCAAGAGGGGAGAAAAATTATGTAAATAATTTAGAATGAAGTAGTACATTGGACAAGAATTAAACAGAAAAATAATTGCATACAAAAACAATGAAGAATATGGCTTCAATAAAAGAAGAGATTTAATTAGGTGCAGTCAGTGGTCTCTATATAGATCTTTCTATCACTATTATATAACTGCAAAAATTGCTTCAACTTATCCAAAATAAAATCATTTAATAACATTCTACGTACCCTTCTTAATAGCTTTGTACTTCTCTTCATTTTCCATAAAATTAGGGTCCATCTTGAAAACATCTTAAAAAAATAAATGAAAAGTTTAAGTGAGTTTTATTTCCTGTGCTTACATCTGTTGGTGCCCCCCTTCCCAAGCATCACCCCTGGCGTACTAAGCACGTCTTCTGGGTTATAGTCATCTTCCAGAGGAAGCATATGGGTGAACTGGTCATCTTCTTCCACCAAGTCAAGGCCTTCCAGAATAACAGGGTGGTCCTTGAACCCATCTTTCCTTACAGCAAACATCACTTCAATCATGTACTGCACTCTTTTGTCAATTTCAGACTCATGGAGAATGTTTCGAAGGCGTTCAAATATAGCTAAGGGTAAGCAAAAAGAAAAGACAATAAAATAAGCAATACATATTATAATATTCAAACAAAAGCTCGATATCAAAACAAGGATATACACTACCATTGATTCCTCTTGGTGACACCTGTGTTAATTTGAGGCCACATTCCTTGAGAAAACCAATAGCTACTTCAACACTATCATCTGTTGGTCTTTCCAGGAGCAAAGTGAGCATCTCTAAGCATAAAACTTCATGTGCCTTAAATAGAATAAAGACATATGGAACAGAGAAAACGCTTTTATATATATAAGCCTAGTATTGACAGTAATTTTAAAAGTTACTAAATCTGTTTTTTGAAGTGATAATATTGTATATATGATTAGCAAAGTTTTATAATATATATAAAAATATTGCATATATGAAATACAATTATTCTTTTGCTTTCATTATGTATCTGTTAAGAATTCCCAAATGATTATTACAAAAATCCTAGTGTATTGCACTGAATAAAACTATTTAGCTTATCTTCAGGAGAAATATTCTTATACATTGTATTAAAAATATAATATATATTATCTACAGGAAATACAATAATTAACCTCAAAATATAAGTTAAAAATCTTTAACCTGAGATATTTTCATAGTCACAATATTAAGAATAGTGATTCTTTATAAACACAAATATTTATATCCATTGTCCAATTCATTTTAAAAGCAACTATTAGATAGAAAATAATTCTTAAATTACATTCACAATTATTTTATCACAAAATATCTTAGTTTCTGGTATGAAAAATAAATATTTAAAAAATAAATATATCCTTTATTTTTTAAACTAAATCAAACTACTTACACTGGCCATATTAAAAAATTAACTTATAAACAATGCCAGGTAGAGTGAGAATAAAATTCTATTGGGAAGCTTTGCTGTGAAAAACAACTAGAAATGTTCAAAAACATTATTCAAAAGCCTTTCTGAAGTCAGATACTTATTTAAGATGGGTAGGGAAGACTAAATTTCATCTCAAGACATTATTTTTTTTGCATTTAGCACAAGATAAAAAATACATACTACTTTTTGGGGGAGGGGGTAAGCAGTCTTATAAATTACAAGAAAATATCACCCTGTACCACAGTTGGGAAGAACTAAAATATTTATCATTTTAACTGTTTTTGATAATGCCAAAGTATCTCTAATATAAAGTAAGATATATTATACGTTATAAAACTGAAACCTATAGCTGTCCTGACATAGACATGTGAAGTCTTTATAGTCTTAAACAGCATGTTATTGTTATAATATAGCTAATTAGATTACAAATCAAAAAGATTTTTAAAGAGTAAACACTGACAAGATTTTCACATAGGAATTAAAACAATATTTATGTTACAGAAATAAAAGTGTGATTTTAAAATTGTTCTTATAGATATTATTAAACATAATACATATTGAAAAAAAAACTTTGAATGTGAACAAGAACAATTTTACTATTTCCTTCAAGTTGAAACACAATCAAAACTCTCAAATAGTGATTGAATACAAAATAAACACAAAACTGAATAGATAACATTATTTGTAAATAAAATTACTTAATCTACTATCCTATAAAAGCCTATTATACAAATTGTCCCCATTGAGGGCGGTTTGACAAGAGTTGGTAAGATTTTTTTTTAATATATTTTATTGATTTTTTACAGAGAGGAAGGGAAAGAGATAGAGGGCTAGAAACATCGATGAGAGAGAAACATCGACCAGCTACCTCCAGCTGCCTCTTGCACACCCCCTACCAGGGGCGTGCCCGCAACCAATGCACATGCCCTTGCCCGGAATCGAACCTGGGACCTTTCAGTCCGCAGACCGACGCTCTACCACTGAGCCAAACCGGCTTCGGGGGTTTGACCAGAGTTTGAAGAGGAGACCAGGAGTTCAACTGCTTGCTATGACATGTGTTGACCACCAGGGGGCGGCACAAAACGTGGCAGATGATGATGCAGCACTGGCAGCTGAGGGCAGTGGAGGCACTGCTAGCCCCAATGGGCCCTAAATGAGAGCGGGACTGAGGCAGAATGGTAGAGCAGGCGAGCAGGTGGTACCAGGCCAAAGGCAGTGCAAGCGGGGGGCCTGCAGACAGCAACTAGTGGCAGAGGGGTGTGTGTGTGTGTGTGTGTGTGTGTGTGTAAGTGACCATGAACAGAATTAAGAGATCAATTTGATAAAATAATATCTAGTTATTCTTCATATTAAATAATTTAAAGGCATTTATTATAGCTTCAACATTAAAAAATTATTCAAGATACTTTTCCAAGACTATAAAATTAAAAGAAAAACAGAGATATGTCATTAGTGCATCAAGTCTGTGTGGTCTAATGTCACTAAAAGGTACCAAGTTTTGAAGATAATTACTTACCACATTTTGGTTAATAAGATGTGCCACAAATTTTGAAGCAGTCAGACAAAGTTGCTGCAGAGTAAAGGTAGAGAAAAAGTTAATCTATAAACAAAAACCAATTTTCATTTATCTATAGAATCTACAGCTTACATACACTTTAAAATATGTAATACACAGGATAATTTTTTATAAGAACTAATAGATGTGAAAGAGTGCCATTTCTGGCAAAATAAGTTAAAATTTCTGTGTCTCATCATTAGTAGCCAGAGATATTTAATAGAACTAAAAAAAGTTCTCATGAAATATGCAGTTTTAAAAAAAAGTTCCTATATAGAAATCAACATTGCTCACTATTGTTGATACTGATTTATTAATCTGTCTGTATCTACTTACAAGCCAATCATACATACCTTATCATTTCTTCGATAGCCCTTCCGAAAATTAAGAATTAACCTCTTGAGGATTAATTCTCCTATTTGTGGAAATTTAGAGTTAATAATAGCCACTAATGCTGCATAAACATGGGTGAAGATTGGAGAAGCACTCTGTGCTTGCAAAACAGATCTGGACAGCAAGCCTCTGTTTAAAAAAAAACAACACCATCAACAATAATCACCAATTTGATTACAAGAATAAAAAACTCATTTGAAATCCAGTAATATTACTCCTCTGTAAATAATCACAAATCCTAAATCAGGATTAAATTCATATCACTTTATCTAGGAGAAAAGTTTGTCTAACAAAAACTGCTTTTGAAAAAATAAACTTGTGCTTTCATAAAACAGTTTTTACTATAATTTTTTCATAAAAAATTTTGTCTCAAAATATAATTCCTGTTTTCCAATTTCTGTTTGTTATAACTAATTATAAATTTGAGGTTTTAACTTCTTAGAAGTAATTAAACATTTGCAAAATAGTGTAAGAAAAAAGGACCTGCTTCAAAAGTACTAAACTTAAAATAAGATTTCCATGACTGGACTATTATTTTATATAAAACTATGTGATTAAAGACAAATTTGGGTATTTCCCATCATTAAGCCTATTTTCAGTAAATTAAAAATGAAGATTTAGAAGTAATGTAAGAATAATGATAAACAATTACAGAAATATAAAAGGTTCTACGTTAACACATTTTTAAAATAAGCATGTTTCTATATGCATATAACAAGGAGAAATATGCAATGTGGGCTGAATAGTTATTTTTAGCAATATAATGACAAATAATTATTAGACTGTCAAAAGGCAGGAAAACATTGTCTTAAAAGTTATCAGGTTAAGGTATGACAATTAAATCATTAGAGTAGAAAATGAGAAGAGAACTCATCTAATAAGTGGGATGATCTTAAGCAACCCACAGAAGTGCTCAGAAAATGAAAGAGCACTATCTGTTTTTGAGAACAGAGGCTATCTAAGGTCACCTTTCTTTATCCTCAAAACATGCTACATCTTAGTTTATATCCCCAATGTTGTTTGGAAAGGAATCAGGATCATGTGAAAATAGACTTCAGATTTAAATAATAGAATGAATATAGGATACCTGTTTCCTGACCCTTTTCAACATCACCAACTACTTAAAACCACGCAGAAAATGCTAAGTCATTCTCTTCTGCTTTTCTAAAATTTATTACTGTTCTTCCTCACTTCGTTCACATTCTCACTTAGCTTTCATTAGAAATTAAACTGGTTTGAAGATATTTACTATTCTTCATTAGTGTAAGTTATTAGAAGTATTCAGTACATAAATGTCTGCAAAAAACCATTATATCACATCAAAGCTTCTTAAAAGCAAAAACTCCATACAACCTCTAATTGTTAAGTATAGGTTATTTGTTAATAGTTACAATTTTTCAAAACCTGCATTTTAAATATTCTCAATTACCTTTGAAATAAGGTAGCATAATAAATCAATGATTATGATTCATGTAGGTTATGTTCCTTTGAAAAACCACTATGAAATACTGCAAATAGATGCTTACCTCCCTCTAACTATGTTTTCTTGAAGGAGTTCTTGAATAATAATACCTATATTAGAAATGTTGACTTTGTTGATAAGACCATTAATTGACTTCTTTAGGGCTTCCCAGCTCATCCTCTGGTATGCTAAGCTAAAAAGAATAGATTTTAATAAAGATTAAAACTCCAGCAACAATCACAATAACAAGAAGTTATCTGAACATAAAAAAATACTTAGTGCCTTATTTTTAACATTATTTTCATAAAATGACCCTAAATGCAGTAAAATATTACTAAACAAAGATTATATCCTAAGCTAGTTGATTTTTATGTACATATAATGCTTACACAGACTGCTTCCCTTTAATAACATACGGTTATTAAGGACATTATTTTTTATTTTAAATAATATTAAATACCCACATATAAACCTTAAGAAGTAAATTTTTATTATGTTCCATAGTATAAGCATGTGAAAACAAAATTGTTTTAAACTATCATATATAATTAAGCCCAACAACCGAACAGTGGAATGACCAGAATGACTAGTCAACCAGTCACTATCAAGTGCACTGATCACCAGGGGGCAGACGCTCAATGCAGGGGCTGCCCCCTAGTGGTCAGTGCGCTACCACAGTGGGAGCATCACTTGGCTGACTAGGATGAATGGCTGCTCCCACAGTGGGAGCAGCAGCTCAGAGGGCAGGTCCACAGCCACTGACTACAGCTAGCCAATCCCTGTAGGCCATGCCTCCACCAGTGCACAATCCCGTGTACCAGGCCTCTAGTAAATAAATAATAATTATAAGGAAAAGTAAAGTCATATGAAATCATGGGCTAAAAGACTGACTGTTATAAATATTTTAAAAAACATCTCTACATTTATGTAATAATCCCACAGCTATACCAGTTGAATGCCAGATAGCTATACTCTTTTTTAACTAAAATTGTAGGTAAATTTTTTAGCCTTAAAGTTTCTTTGCTTGAACGTGATACTGTCTAAAACTTTTTAAAGTTTTAAGATTCTATGGCTTTTATAATTATTTCTTTGTGGAATGTCATTTCAGATGTAGTTTTAATTTTTTTTTCTCATACTTATAAATTTTGAGGAAGCTGATAGACTCTTGGGATAATATTTACAAATGTATAGGATTACAAAGGATAGCAATCATAGTGAAATACAGTTTTTAAAACATGAAAAGAGCCCTGACTGCTTTGGCTCAGTGGATAGAACACACACACTGAGTGGCCAGATTATCATGCATTCAGAGATTATAATAATCTGGCCACTCAGTGTATATATAAAATTATGTTCTAGGAATTACTTAAAATTTCATATACTGCTGACTGCCCACTTTATTCAAAAGAAAGACTTGGATTAACAATGTTTCTGGTCTTTTATAATTAGGATTGCTTTGGTATGGACTGGGCACAGTAAACACTGTCTCTACTGCCTCTACAAAAACTAAATGCCTACATGATCATGAAGCTCTCATAAACCACAGAGGCCATCTCCAAATCCCTCCTCAGCATAACACTCCAAGCATCACTACCAACTGTTGGGAAATGACACATGAAGAGAAACGTACTTACCAGTTTTAAATTTAATGTCATCTAATGTCCCTTTCTAGCACATAACTTTTTCAATTTTAATTTATCTCAAGTCTTTACACTTACACAAATGACATTTCTACTTCAAGCTTATTTTTGAAACACATTTAGATTTCATTTATACAAGGTTATCAAGAACTTTCAAGTTGTCATTAAAATACCCACAAAAGATGTAGGAACACTCTTTCTTGACAAATCTAGAATCTGTTTTTCTTAAAGTATAGCTATCTTCTAGCCCAATCTTTTACTAACTACCTAGCAACTGAATGGGCATTTCAATCTTGCACCATACATTTTCTAATTGTTATCCCATCCCATTAGAGAAAACTTAACTGCACTTTCCTATATAGCTCCTCAACATCCCAATTGCTTTGAAAAGGGAAAGAAAGGTATTTTGAGTGTGAATAGTCATATATAAATTTTGAATGTCTTCCTTAGAGTAGCAAAACATTATAATCCAAGATGTTATGATCTGAGAAAAGGAGGGAATAAAAAATTGTAAACTTAGTTTCATGCATTAGTACTGGGGTTGGGAAATTACACCCACGAGCCAAATGTGGCCCACTGCCTGTTTATGTAAATAAAGCTTTATCGGAACAGAGTTACTCATTTGTTTACATATTATTTATGGCTGTATTCCCAAGAGTCAAGTAGCTGCAACAAAGATAGAATAACGGACCAAGCCTTAAATATTTAACATCTGACCTTTACCTGAAAAAGTATGCCAACTCCTGGTTTGGTAAAACTGAAGATTCATTTTAGGTAAAAAATATGAATACTCTTGATTATCCAGGAAAAAAAGACACTCCTAATAGGTAAGCATGTAACTATTAAAGAAATAATTTAAAATAGCTAAGTGTTATTTTCTAAAATTTTAAAATTCATACATGCAAATAAATAAAGAAGTGCTGAGCTAATGTGTTAGGGCAGGGCAAATAGCATGCAGAGTTCCAATGAAGGTTATAGAGTGAAGAAGAAAAGAAGTCTAATTTGAGGGCTCTCTCATTGTGGACTAATGTAAATTCTCAACAGCCAAGGTTAATTAGGCCATAGTTGAATTTTTTCAATGAGAATAACATGGCTTTGTATACTTAGTGATATGAACATGCCTGTTTTTATCTGTGATCTGTTCTTGCATCATCCTGAGCTTTGCAGGAGGAATATACGCTCCGCCAGTACGAGTAAGAAGAGGATCCAGCTCATCTTTCTTCTTCTTCGCAGTAGGCTCATCCTGAGCAGAGGAACTTCGGGTCAACGATGGATCTGGGCTTCTTCTCCCAGGAGATGAAGATTTCCGGTACCTTTTCCGATCCACATCTCTTTCTCTTTCTCTTTCTCTGCGTTTATCTCGGTCCCTATTTCTGAAACATTACATTTTTGAAAATGGAAAAAAGACAACATAAAATACAATCTTAAATATATTTCTGAATACCAAATGAGTGAGACCATAAGTGGGCCCCATAAATTCAGAGAAGGAAAAGTGGTTTGGAATGGTGAGAAAGTACTTCACAAGAAAATGTAATTTAAATTATGTCATCAAGGCTTGACAGAATTTATATTGAGGGCAAGAAGGCGAAGAGAAAGGGAAGGGTGAATACTTTCTACAATAGTAGAAGACAGAATAACTACTGGAAAACTGAGCAAGGGTATTCAGGCCAGAATGAAAAGAACAGTCAGGAAACAATAAAGAATCGTATATTGGAAGTATGCGATCAAGTCAGGCAGAAATTTTCAAAGATAATCAATACACTTTAAATTTTTTATACTGGAGGAATCATCAATAGTTTCAGAGTGGGATAGTGACATAAAAAGAGTGTTTTAAAAAGACAAATTGGCTTATGATATACATGATATAAACTATTAATATATAAAAGAGAAACCAAAGTTTATCATCAATAATGACAATTTAGGAGTAAGACTATCATAAAAATGTAATATTTGAAATTGTTTCTTGATAAAACTGGTATTTTTATTAAAAACTTCAGAATATCAGAAGTTTCTGTTTGAGACCATTTTTACTCTTCCTATTAATGCAGGTGAGTATCCTTTCTTAAGCTAACACTTTAAAAATAATTAAAATATTGATCTCTGAAACTAGCAAGAATAACAGGAAATGGTAAATCCTTGATTTTTGCTATCTTTCCCCAGAGAAGAGCTTGTCCACTTATCTGTTTTTTACATATACAGGTACTGCCTTGGAAACTCAGGTCATTCTACTCACACTTTGTGCAACCATGAGTTATATGAATATAGTAAATAAAAACTGTTTTATATTATCTTATATGAAAGCAAGGGTTGCACCACCAGGAAACTGTTGAATAGATTTTACATACATCTAGAGGGCATATGAGATTACTGTCTTACTATACAGTAATACAACCTAGAGACAGAGAAAAGCAGTCAGTTTTGAAATTGAAGTTAGAAACCCCAATAAGTCACAAAGCCAGGTGCTCTGAAATCTAGGCACTGATTTGCAACTGAGTTGCTTCTTGTTATAAATGTAGCATGTTCTAAGAGAGTAGCTAATAGCAGGGATATGATTCTTCTGAGAACCACCAACTAAAACTACTAGCTGGCTGATAAAATTGTGTCCTTACAATTATAGTGCTGGTTCCTTAGAGTGCATGAGCAACACAATCTTCTTTGAATCCAGATAGAAATATTTCTCTTCAAATGCTTTTGGACTATTAATCATTATATTCTACATTAATACTCCAGTGTGACTGTGTGGGTCAAATGAGACTTTTTGTACATAAAATGGACCAAACACAGACTTACAGTGAAGTAATATAGTCAGGGATGGTGGAAAATTCATGGGCTTTAGAGTGAGAATTGAGTTACAATCCCCTTTTCATCATCTAGCAGACAGGTAACTGCCACTCAGGTAAATTACTCAATCACTTCAAACCAGTCCTCTTTCCTAAATTGTGAAAAACAGTATCTAGCTTGTATATGAGGAAGTATTCAAAATGCCTAGCACACTAAATATGATGATAGTAGTTGTTCTTATTAAGGTGTCATTAAGGTGACAGCAGATGGGATTGGCTTTTGGAGGTTCATTTAATCTGACATATGAAGACACACACACATACATATAAGAAAGTAAGAGAAGTGAAAAGGAAATGTGGGCTGCAGATATCAAATAATGCATTTAAGCACCAAATTGCAGAGTTTTGTAGGGATACAGTTTTGGTAGTCTGTATTAGATAATGACAGAGATATCAAAAACAATTAGAATTTAGTGAACAATAAAACATGGTAGACAAGTTGTTGAAACTAGATGACTAATAAAATGGCTATTCAAGTTCTCTAAGACTAAGAATAACTTTTATTTAGATTAAAACCACAGATTGGTAACTTCGTTTTCAATGTTTATTTGCCATTATGCAAGAAAATAAATTTAGATCACTTTAAGTCATATAAGCAACTTCCTTTCATTCAATCAAGAATCTCAAAACACATGAGCCAACTCCTCTTTCAGTACAGTATAATGAATAAGAGCTTCAGCTCTAGAGTCAGACAGATTTCTAGAACACACACAATTGATTTAACTTCTCTAAGCCTGTTTCTTGATCTATTGGGTCGGCAACTAAGTAATTGCGGGTTTCACACATATATGGCTTCAGTTGAATTTTTAGGTTTGCAGACGTAGTACAAATGTAAAACACATTTTGTTATTTGATAGTTGGCTATTCAGCTGTTAATCAGTAAAAAAAGTTTTTTGATCTGTTTTGTAGTTTTCGTTTGGCGTTCGTTGAAAAATGGAAAATCAAAAGGAACATTTTCGTCATATTTTGCTTTTTTATTTCCGCAAAGGGAAAAACGCATCGCAAGCTCATAAAAAGTTATGTGCTGTTTATGGTGACGAAGCCTTAAAAGAACGGCAGTGTCAAAATTGGTTTGCCAAATTTCGTTCTGGTGATTTTTCACTCAAAGATGAAAAACGCTCTGGTCGTCCAGTTGAAGTTGATGACGCCCTAATCAAAGCAATAATCAATTCGGACTGTCACAGTACAACACGTGAGATTGCAGAGAAGCTTCATGTATCACAAACATGCATTGAAAATCACTTAAAACAACTTGGCTATGTTCAAAAACTCGATACATGGGTTCCTCACAAACTGAAAGAATCACAGTTAACGCAACGCATTAGCAGCTGCGATTTGCTAAAGAAACGTAATGAAAATGATCCATTTTTAAAATGACTGATAACTGGCGATGAAAAATGGGTTGTTTACAACAATATCAAGAGGAAAAGATCGTGGAGCAGGCCAGGTGAACCAACTCAAACAACATCAAAAGCTGATATTCATCAAAAGAAGGTTTTGTTATCAGTTTGGTGGGATTACAAAGGAATTGTCTACTTTGAACTCTTACCACCCAACCGAACGATCAATTCTGATGTCTACATTGAACAACTAATGAAATTAAACAATGCAGTTGAAGAAAAGCGGCCCGAATTGACAAATCGAAAAGGTGTTGTATTCCATCATGACAATGCAAGGCCACACACATCTTTGGTCACTCGGCAAAAATTAATGGAGCTTGGTTGGGATGTTTTGCCACATCCACCATATAGTCCTGACCTTGCACCATTTGATTACTTTTTGTTTCGATCTTTACAAAACTCCTTGAATGGTAAAAATTTCAATAATGATGATGATGTCAAATCGTACCTGATTCAGTTTTTTGCTAATAAAAACCAGAAGTTTTTTGAACGTGGGATTATGCTGCTGCCTGAAAGATGGCAAAAGGTCATTGATCAAAATGGGCAATACATTACAGAATAAAGTTATTTAGTTCCATGAAAAATTTTTCTCTTTAAAAAATACGCAACTACTTAGTTGCCGACCCAATATAAACAGATGTAACAGCATCTACCGTCATACACTTACTGCAATAGAACTAATTCACATGAAGTCCTTATTGGAAGATCATCCATTTAGTGGTATTGTTGTTTTTATTATAAAGAATAAAGGAGAGCTAAACAAATACACTTTCTATAGTTAAAATTTCCAATACTAACCGCGATTCCATGCTGCCATCATAAGAACGTCCTCTTCTTGAACGCTCATTGTCGGACCTGCTGTACTCAAAGTAATCTCTATCCCGGGGGGATCTGTCTTGTTCTGCATATCTAACACAGCAAATAAGAAAACCAAAGTTCAAAATAGCTATGTCATACTTAGGAAAGCCGTACATTGGTAATATAAAGCAACTCTATGACTAAAAAATGTCTTATCAAACGTTTTTAACAGACAGCTCATTTTTTGACAGCCATTCATTCAGTCTTGATTATAAAAGCTTTGTTGTGCACAACAAAACAACTGCTGGAATTCCCTCAACCAAACTTGTCATCCTGATTCCCACTGTCCTTAGCAAGATATGTAACTGGATATCGTATATAGTCAGCATGAAAAACACTTATCTTGTAAATGACTTCTTTTGCTTAGTCTATATCTACTCATTCTACTTAGTACTGGAGATATTAAAGTTCTTCCCTCTTACCTAAAAAATTACTTAAAATCTAGATTTATTTACTAGAAAGTCCTAGGTCACTCAAGAATGATTAGTCCTCAAGTCTACTCAATATTCTTTATAAAACTATAAAAAAAAAGAAGTCCGCTCTAAAATTAGGAAACTAAGAGTTAAGTAATTTCTTAAACTTATAAAACATTTAAATTGAATTCAGAACACATAAAACTGTTCACCTGTCTTCTGGAGAGTAGGTCCTCTGATATGAACTGTTGTTTTCCCTTCTGTCATGACCTGAAGAATGCTTTCAAAAAAAGAAAAAAAGAAAAAGAAAAAAAAAGAAGGGAGGAAGCATTTTAAAAAGTATGTTAACTCATAGCTAATGAAATACATATCTCAGAAAATTGGAAATGCTTTAGAAATTACTTCAAAATATTTTTTAAAAGTCTGTTTTCACTATGGAGCAAATACCCTTTAAACCAAAAAATTCAAGATAGATGAAAATATTTCTCACATGCCATCTTGTTAATATTTTATTCCTATATATAAGTTATAAAAATATAGGATACCATTTTTATGAAAGCTTCTCCTGGTAGAAAATAAGATGAAAGCTTTCTTTTGGTGAAAAATATGACTAAGGGCCAGAGGTTTTCTAGCAAGAGCTCACTTTTGTGATTATGCCCAACACTTACTACTGCACTGACCTTCTTATTTCCTATGGCTTATAATAATCACAACTTTAGTCCAGGTTAATGAATCTAGATAAAATAAATGTTTAGAAGAAACAAACTCTAGTATATTTACAAAATTCATTCATTTGTGTTTTCAGAAAACATAATTTGAGTGTCTGATATGTATGGCACTACATTAGGCTATCAGGATTTGAAATATCTAGCTCATGTGTCAAATCCTTTAAAAAAATAACAGACATACAAATAACTTTAATAAACATGAGACTGAAGAGACATGTCACATGACAGAGATATGAACCATCCAGATTAAGAACATGTATACTAATTTAAAAATCCAAATATGCTTAAGAAGCCAAAATATTTATAAATAGGTAAATTTTTATACCATTGACCAACATCCATGTTGATAAGGTTTTTAAAAAGAACTAAAATAATTTTAATTAATCTAACTATAAGAAAAACAAACCCGTATGTTTTTTAAAGTATCTTAATCTTGAAATCTAAGAAAAGTAAATCAAATAATGTAACTTGTTCTGCATACTTACATGCTTGCCTTCTTGACAGGAAAAAGATATATATAAAAATAGAAAATTACTTCATAGAAATGTAAACAAGCGCTCAAACTTCCTATTTATGATTAGCTAATTAACAGAAGTTGGAGTCTAACATTATCATAAGTAAATTGCCAGTCTCATTAACTACTGAAGGAAGCATTTAAACCAGATTAATCTATGTAAGTAAATAAACATGTGATCAAATTTGTAATTTACAGTAGCCATAGTCAGGCTGTTATTTTATACTCAGTGCAACCACCTAACCCTTTTTCTAATGCAAACAAGAAAGTTTTTAAATTATTTCTCTTAGCAACACAATGAGGTAGAAATATTCAACATCTATAGTAAAAAGGTAATATGCTAAATCATTCTGGACATCCTTCCTAATGAAGCCGGGGCCTGAGGGAAGCCAGCTGGGTCCTGGGTTTCTGCGGGCGGCCAGAAGGAAGCCAGGCCGGGTCCCGGGTGCCTGCGGGTGGCCTGAGGGAAGCCAGGCCGGGTCCCGGGTGCCTGTGGGCAGCTGGAAGGAAGCAGCCCGGGTCCAGGAGCTGGAGGGAAGCCGGTGCCAGCAGCCAGGGGGAAAGAAGGCCTACTCTTGCAGGAATTTTCGTGCATTGAGCCTCTAGTATATATATAGGTTTGAAGATCTGACATCAAGATCTTATGCCAAATATGGAACACAAGACTCATTCAAGTCATGGTAACATCAAACATAGTATTTACTGATATTTATTATATGGCATAGGCCTTCCTGCATAGATACTCTGGAGAATACAAAAGAAAACCCCTCAGGAATTTATTATCTTGTAGGAGAGAGATGGTTATAAAGACTTCCACAATTAAAAATATCAGATTATATATTCCTGAGAGAGAGAGAAAGAGAGAAGGAGGAGAAGGAGGGGAAGGAGGAGAAAGAGGAGGAGGAAGGGGAAAAAAGGAGAGAGGAAAAGAAAGAGATACTAAAACTGCAAAGTTTACTTTTTCCTTTACAAGGCACTGTAATTATTTTGATTACATTAGGGAGATGGCCTCAATTCTGTGCTAATGATTTTTAACACTTCTCCATAACATCTGTTGTGAGAAAGAGGGAGAAACCAAAAATATTGAAGTCGTGAATCAGGATTTCGTAAATATGATCACGTTAATGGTTGATTGGCACAAGTAGTAAGTGCTAACAGGAGATCTTGAGTAGGGCACAACCACCACGGTACAGAGTGCTGAGGAATGATAGTAAGGGGACCTGAACTAGGCTTTAGTAGGTGAACAGAATTTCACTATGTGAAAAATCATTTTGGGTAAGATCCAAATAATAATAACCAGAATTTCCCAATTTCCTTTATCATAGAGTTTAGATTATAAGTCAGAGCAATAGCCAAAACCGGTTTGGCTCAGTGGATAGAGCGTCAGCTTGCGGACTGAAGGGTCCCAGGTTCGATTCGGGTTAAGGGCATGTACCTTGGTTGCGAGCACATCCCCAATAGGGGACGTGCAGGAGGCAGCTGATTGATGACTCGCTCTCATCGGTGTTTCTAACTCTCTATCTCTCTCCCTTCCTCTCTGTAAAAAATCAATAAAATATATTAAAAAAAAAAAAAAGTCAGAGCAATAGTTGAAAATAACATATTGTCAAAATTAGCTTTAAAAATTCTCTCTTCATTTAGCAAAACAAATATGGTACACCACGCAGCCCTTGTACTCTCTAACAATGTAGAGACCAGTACAAGAAGGTGAGTGAAGCAGGGAGCCCGAATCCAAAGCTCTGGGTAACCATTAGGCTCAGGGAGCAAGTCAAGAGCAAGGGACAGAAGGGCTGGAGGAAGGGAGCTTGCTTCTTGCTTAGTAAGGAAGCTACTGTAAAGCTCAATGGGAAAACAAAAGATCCTCAGCTCGCCCTCACTGGTTTGGCTCAGTGGATAGAGTGTCGGCCTGCGGAATGAAAGGCCCCAGGTTTGATTCCAGTCAAAGGCATGTACCTTGGTTGCGGGCACATCCCAGTGGGAGGTGTGCAGGAGGCAGCTGGTCGATGTTTCTCTCCCATAGATGTTTCTAACTCTCTATCCCTCACCCTTTCTGTAAAAAAAAATCAATAAAATATAGTATTAAAAAAAAAAAAAGATCCTCAACTCAAGCCTCTTGAGCCTAACAGGTGAGCTCAGAACATCAAGAGAAGATCTGAGCTTCCCCTGAGGCAAGACTGACGCCAACCCAGCTAGTGGACCTGCGTGTGGCTTGCAGGATAGTGAGAGGAAAGCACACAAAACTGAAAACTGACTGGGAGGGTCCACACCATGGCTCAAGGGATATCACCGAGGACGCATCAGTAACACAAGAGGGAAGGCTGGAGAAGCATCGTCTAAGAGGAGCAGGAAAAGATTCTGAGAGAGACTAGACACTTCTCCCTCTGTAAGCTAACTTAGTCTAAAAGTCTATCAACTCAGTTTATTAAGCACCACATACCAGGGCTTATACCCAATGCCTGCTGTTAAGAAGGTCACAGTCTACTGGTTCTCTTTAAAGAAAGTTTATGGATACAGAGCTCATGGAGGTGAGGAAGGGAGAAGTGGATAGATTTATAATCAAATAAAAATACACTTTCCCCTTTAATACTCTGAGACCCAGGAAGTGATATGCCTACTTTTATGGTTGGGGGTCACCACAATGAGGAACTGTATTAAAGGGTTGCGGCCTTAGAAAGGTTGAGAACCACTGCCTTATTTCTTTTCTTCATAGCATAGTTGAGCACTTAACACTCTAACAGATCATGTAATTTACTTATGTTTTAAGTTTATGATTTATTTTGTTTCATAATGAACTATGCAACAAAAGGCTCACTTGTAGACAGATAAGCAGGAACTACGACCATTGGGCATCATAGCTCATTTCATGTGCATTAAAAATTTCCTGCCCTCTTATTTTTTATCATGTGCTCACTGACATTCACTTTCTTGATTCATGCATACACACCCTATATGTTCTCTCAACTGTCCTTTTGAACATTATTACTCCCACCTGACCAAGTATATACATTTGAAATTGTGTTAGATGTATGCACAATGTCACTTTACTGTCTGAATTACATACATGCATTTTTGTTTAAAGGATAGGTAATTGACTACATGTTGTTTTTTTAATTACAAGTTTCAAACACTTACTTTTATCTGTGCCACACTACTTTTCATTTTCTGTTGCCAGTTGATCCTATCAATCAGACTCCTTAAGCTGGTCCAAATAACAAGTACCAATGGTATGAATTCTCTGACAGTTTACTTTTTTCTGTCTGCAAGGATTACCTATAAAATATACCAAAGAAAGCTTTGTTAACTTTGACCAACTTATTTTTCGTAGTCAGTAGGCATAGATATAACCAATAATAAAAATATCCTTAGATAGCTCTATATAATAATGTATTAAGAACACATATTATTAGCAAAGATTCTGAACAAGAGAGCAAATAATAAAAAGGGTATATTAAATGCAATAAGGTATTTTATTCTTATGACTAAGAAGAAAAAAGTTAATTTAAAAACTAATGTCAGATAACTTTATTCAACTTGTTCTCAATGAAGGAAACATATCTACATAATAAGATAGTATTGTGACATTATAAAAAAAAACACATACAAAAAAACAAGTAAACAGAAAAAACAATTATAAAATATCCAATGTTCTTGTAATAATGATCAGAGATAAATATACTCTGCACGGAAATATAAGATACTATAATAATGACTAGCATAATCAAGTCTCAAAGGCAAAGGGCTGCAGATATATGCACTTATGAGAATTATGTATTTGTTCAGAATAAACCTAGTCATCAACATTAAAAGCTAAAATTAAATTTCACTATCCATCTGTTAAACAGTTTAGGAATTTTTGAAAAATGCTAAACTGATAGTTACGTTTCCAAGTATTTTACTGGAGTTACATATATAAGTGACTTAGGGTTTATGAGAATTGCATATTTAAATGATTTATAGTATGGTGCACAGAACAGAATTACAAAAACAATATGAAATAGAAAATATTTTTAAGGTCAAGAATATAGAGAAAGAACTGTTCTCAGTACCAAAAAAACTGAATACAACTAGGAAAAATATTAATTTTAATGCAAAAAATTATTACATATTATTAAGTACAACTTCTTTTTAAAGATGAAAGTCAGAAAAGTTATGATATGAAATGGAGACATATCTACATAAACTTAAATCATAAACTTAAAACATAAGTAAACATTTAATGCCCTAAGCTATAATAGTTAGTGATGGACCATAATTAAAAACCTAGACTGAGGACAGGCAATTAAGTGTTCTTTTCATTAGACCATGTACACAAATAACCTTGACACTATAAAGTGACATAGAGCTGCTACCATTTAATACAGATGGGGATGTACACAATCACTAAATCCAGGAAAGTTTCTATTACAATGGTTAGCATGGTATCAATCTTAGCAAGTGCAAAATACATAAGATACTTTATAAACTTATCAATTTATAAAATATAATTTCAACCTAAAGCACATAACTATTGTGCAAAATTTAGCATTTTCCTCTGATATTCCTCTTGGATCTTAAACCTTATCTCTCTTCTCAACTTACCAACATATAATAAATAAAATAAAAAAGCGACTTTCTATGTATTTTATTTCAAATTTACCTTACTTATTTAAATTTAGTGTCATTTCCTCTTTCTACCCGTCAATCATCATTACCAAATAAAATTCTGGCAATCAAGTATACCATGTCCCAAAATGTAAGTATGAAATGGACAATTTTGTAAGGTAGACTGGTACTGCAGTTCTAACAACAACAAAATGTTTAAAGTACTATCACCATCCAGATTTATATAAATTTCCCTCTAGGGAAATTCTTAGAGTTCAACATGTACATGCTTGATACTTGGTCTAATTGGAAATTCTTGCAATGAGAGCAATTTATCCAGAGTTTATAGCTCTCACTGCTCTTTTTGGCACCACTATGAGGATTTTATGATGAATTATTAAATTTTCCTCTCCTTGTCACAAGTAAGCAACTCAGCAAAATCACACCTGCTTTCCTTAGCAAGGAGGAGATTTTATAAGGACACAAAGTTTAAAAATGATGACAATTTTACATCAGAAAGCAAAATATTTAATAACATATTTAAGGACTTTAAGTGAAAATGAAACTATAAATTCTGCAATTATCTCAAAAATTCAGAAAATGCAAAAATATTCAACCAATGGCCAAAATGCACCGTTTTCTCTATTATTTCAGAACAACATTTCTACTCCTAAGGAAATTGTTCAAAGGGGAATGGATTCCCTTTCATTTGCTCTTTTGCATTCTACACAGTAACAGCCGACTGGACAAATCTCAGATATTTTAACAGTTAAAAAAATAAAAATAAATCCATAAATCATAGTTGTCCAGTGGGAAGAATGATAATATTAATCAATATTCAAAATAAAATGTAGTTTAAATCTGTTCTAAATGCAAAAAATAAAATAAAATAAAATAAAATAAAATAAAATAAAATAAAATAAAATAAAATAAAAATTGGGGGCTGGAGGGAAGAGAATGGAGTCCTGAGAAAAATCCTCAAATAGGATCCAAGCCCCTGCCCCTCCAAACAGTGATTTTTCCTTCTGAGGAAACAAGACAGTAGCAGTAGACTGGCCACAGTTCTTAAGCATTAATTCTGTCCCTATCGGTACTGAAGGAAAACCCCTTTGTTTAAGAAAACCATTCTATTTTCTTTGTTGCTATTTTTTAAATATATATACACTAGAGGCCCAGGGCACAAAGTTTGTGCACGGATAGGGTCCCTAGCAGCTGACAGCTGGGGTCTCCCTTCCCTGGCTGCCAGTTGGAGCCTTCCTTCGTTCCACACCACCCCCTGGTGGTCAGCACATGTCATAGTGAGCGATAGAACTTCCCATCTCCCGGTCAAACTTGTATATTTTGTATATTAGGCTTTTATATTTATAGATATTAGAGAAAAGTCTACCCATGATATACCACATAAAGGAAAGTGATGCAATTTGATTTTAGCATAGTTCCCAATTTCAGGAAAATAAAAATGCCAACATACTCCTATCCCTTTCAGAAAATGTCACCAGGTTCAAGGTGACATTCCTTATCTGCAATTTTGAAATCTGCAAATAGATTTTCCTTTTTAAGTTTGTTGTAAACTCATTTGGCAACAACAACTGATATGCACCAACTTTAGACTTCATGAGACCCTCATTTGATGTGCAGCAGAAATATTAATGTGCTTGATTGGAGGACTCTGCCAGGACCCCAAAATGGCAATTACTTAACATATCTGCACTAAAACCTGCACTAAAATTTCTTCTCGAAAATCTGAAAAATTCTGATTGTCAAAACATGACTTCAAGAATTACAATAAGTCGAAACCAGTTTGGCTTGTGACTTCAAGAATTACAATAAGTCGAAACCAGTTTGGCTCAGTGCATACAGCATGGGCCTGCGGACTGAAAGGTCCCAGGTTCAATTCCAGTCAAGGGCATGTACCTTGGTTGTAGGCACATCACCGGTAGGGGGTGTGCAGGAGGTGGCTGGTTGATGTTCTCTCTCATCAATGTTTCTAACTATCTCTCTCCCTTCCTCTCTGTAAAAAATAAAATATATTAAAAAAAAAAAGAATTACAATAAAAAGTTGCAGACTTGTACACAATATTGTTTTTTCTTAGACATTGCACACTCATAACCATTTCAATGACTGAATATCCCTATGTTCAAGTACAGGGCTGGAAGCTGTGCAGACAGTATCTGTATACTGTTGAAATTTTGTAAGTGAAGAGGAATCCTATCTAATAAAAAGGGAATATGCTAATTGACTGCCACACCCTCAAATATGACAGTGCCCACAGCCACACATGGTGGCGCCCAGTCCCCTCCGTCCCACTGGGACGACAGGCATGTGGCATGGCCGCATGCCTGCCTCCAGAGTCCCCCAGTTCCCTCAGTCCTCCAGCCCCTCAGGGCTGGCCCGAGGCACAGGCAAGCCTCAGATGTCGGCTGCCCAGGCGCCAAGGGCCAGCCCAAGGCACAGGCAAGCCTCGGATGGCAGCTACCCAGCCGCCCAGGTCTGCCTAAGGCTCAGGTAACTAGGGCCAGCCAAAGTTTGTGCTGCCGGCAAAGGCAGCAGCAGAGGTGTGATGGTCCGTCGCCTTCCCCTGAGGGCTCCTGGACTATGAGAGGGGGCAGGCTGGACTGAGGGAACCCCCATCCAGTGCATTAATTTTCATTCACTGGGCCTCTAGTAAACAATATAAAAGCCTTTGATTTGTCTCTGGTCTGTGACTCTATATAGAGGAGTCCACACCAATTTGGGGACATCTCATGATAGATTCTGATGAGTTAAAACAACAACAGAAACAAACAAACAAAAAACAGAGTCTAAAAGTTATTACTTTTTAATGAACTCAGTGATACCGATATTCATGCTAAAAAGAACTCACTATAAACTGGGAATAGCTGTTCATTCATTTCCTTCATCATTAAGCCCGTCCATATGGGCTGGTATTTAAGTAATGAAAGAAATCAAAGTTAGTGATGTGATCATTTTGACATGCTACTTCAAATGTTTTAATAGTTTATTAACTTTGAGAGAGAGAGGAAAGGAGAGGGGGAGAGGGCGAGAAACATCTACGGTATGTGAGAACATAACATTGACTGACTGCTCCTGCAGGCCTCCTGCCAGGAATTGAACCAGCAACCTTTCAGTGTACTGGACAATGAAGCCCAACCAACTAAGCTACATTGACCTGGACACTATTTAAAGTTAAAAAAAAAAAAAATTATTTTGCTGTTACCCTGTTTCCCCAAAAATAAGACAATGTCTTATATTAATTTTTGCTCCCAAAGATGCACTAGGTCTTATTTTCAGGGGATGTCTTATTTTTCCATGAAGAAGAATACGGTACACATTTATTGTTAAATGAAAATAAAGGAAATTTATTACCTGTATATGGTACGGTAGTATGGTAGTTATCAACACAAACCAGACAAACTGTGAATCCTACAGTATCAAGAATTTACTCATTTATTCAATGACAATCATGTCATCATCTTCTGGAACATCATCATAACAATCCAATTCCTGAATTTCCTGGTGAATTTCTTGTGACTTAATTTCCTTCACAATCAGTGGACCAAATCTCTCATGTTTAGCCTAGGGGGGGCCTTATTTTCGGGGGATGCCTTATATTTCACTCAGAAGGAAACCTGTAAGTAGGTCTTATTTTTGGAGGATGTCTTATTTTCGGTGATACACGGTACATAGG